TATATCTTCTGATTCAAGACAAATAAGAGCATGGGTTAGGCATTTACCGAAAGCTATTGATTACCTGAATAACTATCTTACACGTCTCATTAGAGAACTAGGTTCTTCAAAATGAGGATTAGCGTCTTCAGTGGCCATTTTATTAGAGAAGATCGAGTCTAGACTGTTTATAAAATCCAAGCGTCCTGTCGGAAAGAATGAAGAAACCTTAAAGAAAGGTGATACTATTTGTTATCTTCTTACTAATGCGGAATGGGAAGGGGGTATGAAGAATCAGAAGCGCATAACTGATCCTATATGATCACCAAGTCTTCATAAAGTCCGAAAAATAGTAGTATCTAAAAATGAACCTGTGCTTTATTATCTTGATGATAGAGAATTTTCACCAAAGCGAAGGTTTGTGCGAGAAGAACTCATGTTAATAGATGATCCAGAAAAAGTTGGATATCCGCCTCAAAGTATATTATCCGTAAATTTCGTTCATATTTCTCCTATCAATAATGAGTTAAACCAAGCTATTAGTTATACTCAAAGACGTGATGGTCAATGTCTAGAAAAGACTGGAGAAATAAATGGATATAATGTTTATCTTTTGTCTTGTGAGAATGGTGCGTATCAATGGGAGTATCCATTAAAATACATCATGAAGAAATTCAAGTAGTGCCCTCTTTGTCATCATACTAGCAGTGAACGCAAGTGTCGATATATTTTTGAGGATCTGTTAGGCAAGAAATTTCCATCACCCAGGCTGAATTTTTTAGATGAAATGCAACTCAATGGGTATAACGAAGAACTACAACTAGCATTCGAATTCCATGGTCAGCAACACTATAGTCTTAATTCAATGTTTCATAAAAGAGGCCAGATAGATTTGGATGAATAAAGAATACGTGATTAGAAGAAGCAGGATATTTGTAAGGAGCAAGGTATATGTCTTATCGAAGTTCCTTATACAGCTGATCTCCTGTCCTATATCAGATATACTTTAATTGAAAAAGGGTTCTTGAAAGAGGCAAAGAATTAAAAGGAATTATTTTAGTACATTATTAATAATACTCCATTTGATATGAAAATAAATAAACTTAAACCGGTTGAAAGGCTCGTATATCATATCAACGAGATTAAAGATGCCAAAAAATATAATGGACATTTGAGTGTTCCCAAATGGCCTTTTACTTTACTAATTTGTGGTCATACTAATTCAGGAAAAACTAATGAAGTTCTCAATCTCATGCTCAGAAATAAGCTTTATCGAATGTTTAATGGAAAGAAAAGAGGGACACACTATATCAAGTGTAATGATTTACTACTCATCGGCCATAATCTTAAGGAGCCAAAATATAGGTATCTCAAATTAGCCTATCAGATAATTGCAAATAGCCTAAAACCATATTGTGAAGATATTACATTTTGAGTAATAAAACCTGATAAAATACCTAAAGTGGATTCGTTTTCTCCAAATAGAGGTACAGTGCCTTATTCGAAGATGTATGTGCTGATCCAAAAAAAGTGCAGGAGAAAATCATCCCTTATTTTGTTGAGGGACGCCATTACAACATCAGTTCGATATATGTATCCCAGAGTTACTTTGATTGCCAAAAAATAATATGAAAAAATCTTACACATATCTGCCTATTTAATGGATCATGCAATATAGATGAGCTAGTCAACATTGTGCGTCAATATGCTAATGACTAGCGTAGTGTAATTAAGATTATTGATAAAGTATTATGTGAGAAAAAATTCATTGTTTTCGATCTAACTGTATCTCGTGAGCATCCACACAGGATACGAATTGGTTGGGACCAAATTCTTGAAAAAAGTATCTAAGCTAGTGAGTAGAATTTGACTTTATAGATGCTAGCTCTTTTTCTGCCTCCTGTACCTGCATCTTCAGATCCTCGACTTTATAGCATAATTTCTTATTCGCACTAACCCTTTCTCTATAATCATTATCTATGTCTTGTATCATTTTTCCAAAAGTTTTTCTATTATAGTCAAGTAGATGTTGGGATAAGACTTTAAGTTCATTCATAACTCGGTGGTTATTTTCTTCCTCATGATTATAAGGGATACTTTCAGTTTGGACCTCACTATCTAAACACATACATATGGTAATGCTGGAAATATATTACATTCTGGCCAACTTCAAGAACGTAGTAATTTTTTCTGAGCCATATTTTTGCGTTTCCTATTTAAGGAATTCTCATAAATCTCTAATGTGTGTATCAAATAAGATTCAATTCGTTTGGACTTTTCAGAAATAGATTCTAACGGAACAGGATCTTTAGAATGGTATAAGAGTCTCTCACACGCTCTCTTGACAAGGCTTTCGGGAAGTCTATTGATAATATGTTTATAGTCAGAATGAAACATTTTATTAGATATAGTTTTGCGCAAAAAAAAGTTTGCATGCAATAATATACCCATTAGGCCATAGCAATAAAATGGTTTATTTTACTAATAAATTCACACGTCAGTTTCGTGACACATCTGGTAGATCAGCTAGAAATATTAACTCCGATCAAGAATTTCATATAACATCCGGACCATTGGTCATTAAAAAAATCATGTGACTTTAGCTGATTGTTTCCTGAGGAAACGATTTTGCTAAGAAAATTTTATCATTTGATATATGTATGGGGGCCATATACATGAATATATATTTGTGAAATCAACCATCATTATTACTTTATTGATACAGAAAAAATAATAATACATTAAGGAATTCTAATCTCGCATAGGTGAAGAAATTGTAGAGCTTTTTTCTACATTGCGATTTATCTTTTTAAAGGTGCATTGTATAGTATACTCATATTAATGATCAGAATATTTCGTAATATCAGTAATGTTTCTACAAATTTTTCTACAATGGATTGATCTGATAATTGAACTGGAATTTCTGATTCATGAAGATGATAATATCGATGAATCTCACTCATATCCCTTATAAGAACGCTCAAGCATAATTTTTTTCCAACTATTTATACTCCGATAATGCCAAATTCATCCTTATCAGGCTTACAACTTTTACGAGTCCAGTACATCCCATCATCAATCTCATGCTACAACTTCACTTGATCATCTCTTTCTTTTTTCGTCGTACATGACAAGCGTAAACATTCAGTAAATAAAAGTTCATAATTTTTTCCATTGTGTTTCATTACAAACATAACATCTGGCTATCTCCCAGGTCATCCATCACCTTTTCTATCTGCACTGGCACTACTTTGACGTTCAGAACTTCTAACAAATATGATTTTTCCTAGAGGAAGATTCTTTAATGTTGCCCAGAAGGCCAGTACTATCACATTAGTTATGTAAGTACCTTCATTTAGGGAATCCACAAAATTCGTTTCAAATGCTAGATTATTCCAAGAATCGCTTCTAATATTCATAAAAGATATAACGATAAGCAATGAGTAGGAAATAACTAGATATTACAAAATATCATAAAAATACCTACAATGTGTCTAAAATTCTCTCTGCAATTATTATGAGCTCATTCTCTGTTTTCTTCCATGTCCCATCATGTATAAGTTTTCTTGGTAAATCAATTTCACGATTCTCAATGAAAGTAGTAACGAATTCATTACATTTC